CGCAAAAGCAAAAAAAAAAAAAAAAAAAAAAAAAAAGGTGTACAGAAGTGAACCAACATCTGCATCTAGAGAGGAGGGCGGCTGCCGCCCTGAGCCAGCCGCTCTCGGTCTCCCCAATGCCTCACACTCCCAGCCCCTCCAAGATGCACATGCGGGAGGGACTGCAGGTGAGGGCTGCCCAATGCATCTCGATGGGGCTGGTCCAAGCACCTCACCTCCAATCCTTCTGCAGCTCAGAATGCTTGGGGGGCTTGAAAAAAACAGACGATGGGTTTCTACCGAGACCTGATGATGGGAATCTAGATGGGGGGGGGGGGGGGGGGGGGGGTTCCGCATTTTACAAAGCTTCTGTAACGAATAAAATCATCCAGCTTCCTTTTATGAGGGACCAAGTATTAAAGGCACAACATACCTTCAAGTGAGTTCTCGCTAACAGTCAAAAGCTAAAAAAAGCCAAATGGATTCAGGCTCTACTCGGCTCCCAGGAAGGCAGCTGGATCCCTGTGGCGGTCACTAAATGTCTTGTAAGTAATAGGTACTCAACAAATATTTGCAGATGGACGAATGGATGCTTTTTACAAAGCTTGACTGTCTAATGTCCTGGAAGTTCCCTGCTGTCCAGAGCATGGGAGTAGCTCAGGATGCTGGCAGGGGCCACCTGGCCAGGTGGTCTGAATGTGGCTGGAGTCCTGAGTTGGGGCCACAACCGGGCTTCAGCACACCAACAGGAGGCGTTATTACATCCTTCCTACCACAAGACAAACCCTCAAAGCTGGCCTCTTGCTCAGCAGGGTCAGGGACTCCAGACCTCTGGAAGGATGGCTGGTGCAGAGGCTGCCCTGGAGAGATGGGAGCCCAGGCTGGGGCTCACTGTGGGCTTTGATACACACCTGGCTATTTAATCACGAAAACAGGAGGGACTTGGATATAGGAGATCAATGATGCTTGGTCTTGGCATTCCAGGTATGGACTGAGAGGTCAGTTTTTACATGAATACATTGGCAAACCTCCCTGTATCTGTACTGGCGACCATTTTGGATACATATTAAGGCTTTGGTTCAAAAAAATGCTTTTGAACAACTTGGTCTGATAAAAATGTAAACCATCTTTTGTTAGATGCCAGGATAAACTTTATTTTCCTACAAACTATAATGAAAATAAGAGAAACATGTGGCACATGCGTACTGTGTTTCTACTTTATTAAGTCGTCACAGTAAATCAATTAAAGACAGAGGGCAAACTGGAGAGTCAGGTAGTGGCCATCGGTGAGCCGTGTGCTTCTCCGGGCGAGGGTCATCCCTCGCCACGGGGCACCATGCCTGCCAAGTGGGTTACAGGCAAAGTCTACACTGATGGAGGTATCAGCCCAGATGTGGAGCATCAGGAAAATTAAATAACAAGAGACAGCAAGATAGAAATCAAATGACACCCTATAACTTAATTTACCATGTTTATCAAATTTCATCCTCATTTACATGTACTAAATATTGTAGACCTGAAAACACAAGAAAACATTCACTTAATGTGTATGTCATACATAGGTACTGAGTGCAACTAAAACATGGTTGTTTCCTGCTGAATTTCCCTTCGGGTGTGGACATTCCCCTTCAGTAGCTATGAAGGTAGCACAGTTACATCTACGACATCACAGTAAACATGAAAGCATCCTTCAAACCTCCAGATGATACAGATATGACAGTGAACGAAGCACGGGTGGTCACACCTGAGGAAGGTCAGGAAGACGTGATTTGCATTGTCTACCGATCCACAGGATCTTGTTGATAAGGCTAAGGTCCCATAAGCCAGCCTCTCTCACAGAGTCAAGGCTGAAACCCCCTCCTTCCCAGTGGCCGTCGGGAACTGCAGCCTTAACCGCAGGAAGACGCTGTGACAGTTGCTTACCCGAGCTACAAGTCCTCACTGCTGTCTACTCAAGGTTTTACCACTTAAAATGTCATCATCTTGTGGAATTACTATTTTTTTAAGTACAAAAACCTACTCAGTGCCACTTAGGGCCACTTTTGTTTACAGACGGCTGACCTACTAATGTGACGAGTCAGCACTGTGACTCAGGTGGGGTCCCCACCGGATGAGTGATCCTCGGCAATTTTGCTGAAAGGCATTTATTACAGAAGCTCAATGTTTGCTTTTCTAAGTGAAAAAAAAAAAAAACAACAAAAAACTTGATCATTCAATTTTCCACCCCAAATAACAAGAACGATTCAAGTGCATGTGAGTGCAAGCAAAACTGGTCGCTAGAGTTCCTGTCTCCCGGTTCCAAATCTCCAAACCAAAGCTGTTACTGCTAAGAGCCATAAAACTTCTGGCTGTCCTCTAGGGTCATGGGGCTGCCAAAAATCATTAGGGATTATAGGAAGGTCTACCTATTTGCTACCTACAACCGGATTTCCCACTCCAGGTCAGGACTGGTTCCTGGAGATGAAGTGGAATCATGGTGCAGGAGTCGGGGGTGGGGGTTCAATATGATTCTGAATCCTGACACTGACTAAATCCAAGAATTCTGCAACAGGGGTATTCTAGAGCCTGAAGGTGACATATTCTCCCAGAAGCTAGAGCTTCTGTGGCACTCGGGAGCCCAGGAGCATGTGATGCCCTTCCCGCAGGAATGAGGTACCACGGAGCAGCGGCGAGAGTGCTGAGTCCAGAGCTACGTGGGCCAAAGCACACCAAGCAGACAGCCCACATCACCTAAGGTCGGGGAGGGGGTGCCCAGGAAGATAAGAATTGTGACAGCTGCTAACACAGCAGAAAAGGCTGTCACTTCCAGTCACCCTTTATGGTGCCACTAAGCCCCCAATAAAGCAACACATCGGCCCCGTTTACAGGCCAGCCCGGAGCGCGGCCTCTGTTTGGAATGAACCTGGTTCTCTCGGGTCCCAGCGGTGCTCGAGCCACCCCTTTCTGTGGGCCTGGCCTCAAGTCCTACCTGCAATCCTCCGTAAAACAGAATAACAAGCTCCCTCGAGAATGAGAAGTCCCCTCCTTCCAGGAAAGCCCTTCTCCACTGTCCCCACACCAAGGCTGGCTCCTGGGTCTGCACACCTCTCCTGCCAAGGTTGGGTACCAGCCCGGCCACCTGGACCTGGGTGGTCAGGGAAAACGGCAGCTCTGCGGGAGAGTGGGCTCAGTAGGAAGGTGGCCAAGGTAGGCTGGGGGTGTGCACAGGTGAGGGCAAGAGTGGAGAGGCGGAGGGCAGGGGAGGGCGGGAAGAACCTGCACGGAGACCTTTCCAAGCCCTTAGCTGGCGGCTCCCCTGTTGAGCTCTGGGCTTACTCCGCAGATGGCCCGAGGGCCTAGATGACAAGCAGAGGGCCTGCACCCAACACCCCGACCCCAGCAAGAGCGCCCGGCAAGCACAGATGGAAGGTGGGGCTTTCTTTCTTCCCTTTTTTTTTTTTTTTAAAAAAAAAAAGATGCAACAGGCCTTCCTTGGGGAGGCAAATGGGTACAAAGTAGGGATCACACAGCCTCTGCTCAGGATCTGTCACCCTAAAGCTCTGTGTGTCAGGAAACGTGTGTGAGGCCCCTGCCGGCAGGGCACCACAGGGCAAAGCCTTCGGAGGTGCCTGGAAGGGAGCTTTGCAGGGACAGGACCCTGTGTTTCTAGAATCACCTGAGCGCTCTGTGATAGAAGCTTCACCATCATCACCTGGAGGGCCTCCAGCAGGGCCAGGGGCAGGAAACCTCTCCCCAGTCAGTGGGCATCAGGAACCAGGTGGAATACACACAGCAATGGAGGTAAAACTTCTCCCGGGCTCGAGACTCTAGGGAAAGTCAATTTCCATGATGATGAGATTCTGGACTAACCATAAATCCTAACAGAAGAATGAGCAAAATCAAGGCAGGCAACATTCCTCCAACAACCGGCCCCTCGGTGAGACATGATGGGTTTATAAACGACCGGGGGACAGAGTCAGCTGCCCCCGCCCTCCTGGAAAGCCCGGAACCTTCTTTTTCCTCTGCTAGGGCAGCCCCACCGGCGCCGCGGGACAGTGGGTGAGTCTCCCGTTGCTGGCGACTTTTTCTTTTCTTCTTTCAAAGCCCAAGTTTCCTGAGATGCCACCGCCTAGTCTGAAAGTCCGAGACCCACAGCATTTCGGTGGGATTCCTCTTCGACTTCAGAAGACGGTGAACGGGGAGACCGGCTGAGGGCACCAGCAGGGCAGCGATGTTCCCGGAGTCTGGGTCTGGGGATTCGGGTGGGGAAGTGGGGGACTCTCAGCCGTCTCACACTCCCCGAGAGGCGCCGTGCAGGAGGCTCAGCCTGGTGGCCAGGGCCCTGGAAGGAAGCAGAGGGAGGCCCACGTGGGCACAGGTTGGAGGGAGGACGTGCCACGGCCCCTGGAAGAGGGCGGGACCCCCGCCCGGAACTGTGCGTGCAGGGGTGTTTGCTGAATGAACCCACAGACCAAGGTCTTTCTTCCCAGCCTTTGCTCTGGACTTTCCTGCAGCATAAAAGGAGCTATGAATCTTTCTGAAATTCACTGGGCCTTACCATCCAATCTGCAATAAAGAATGAAGAGAAAAGGCACTGATGACAGTGCGGGGAACGGGGGGAGCCAGAGGAGGAGCACTGCCCAGAGTCAATGAAAGAGCAAGAAAAACTTCAGGGGTAGCTTGTGGATCGGTCGGTGTTATTATTTACACGGATCTACATGCTGACACTTTACACCAGGAGTTACAACTCGATTATTCCCCAAGGGGTCTGAGACAGGAGGTCAGGACTAATTGAATGCGTCCAGAAGCGCCTACAGCTGTTTAGCTCCAGAGGGAAAAAGGAATGAAGCTGAAGCCTGCGTGCCCGCCGCGCCCCCAGTCCCCAGGGCTGTTCGGAGGAACCCAGGCGCCCGCTGCTGCGACACCCGGGCCGCTGTTGCTGAGGCAGGTCCCCTGGGCAGTGCTCTGAGGGAGGACCGTTTCGTCACCCTCCTAATAACCTATTTTTAAACCCTGCTGGGCTGCGCCCCAGCTTCCTCAAAAGCAGGCTTTCTAACCTTCTCCCGACATCCTTCACTTCTGGGGCTTTGGCTTCTGCCATTTCTATCATTACTGGCCTTTGAAATTAATGTACGCAGTGACCTTATTCACAGCATCTTCTGTCATTTTCGGATCTGACCTCATTGTTTCCAGGGAAAGCCTCTGGAATCAATACCTGCAAACACGCCTGGAGCCAAGGAGACCACCTTCCCCGGTGCTGTTCCGAAATTCAGCTTTAAGTTCCCCCAGCCCGGGCTTCTGTCTCCTCCCTCTGGTCCCAGGAAGGTCGCAGCAGAGAGAAGAGTTGTGGGTCTCCCTCCTGCTGTTTTCGTCTTTGAAAACAGGCTGCTTTCGCTAAAAGCAGCAGAGCTGTACTGCCATCCGAGGCGGAGGCAGTGTTGGTTACATCGCCCCATCACCCTGGAGCCAGAGGTGGGCATCGCATCAGCATGTAGTCCAGGGCAGCGGGCCGCAGGGCGAACAGCCCTGACTGAATCCCAGGTACGATTCTAGTTTGAATACCTTCACTTCGAATTGTGTAAGACTCCACGTTATTAACTAGGCACCACCCCACCCACTTTGGAATCAGATCGATTGGGAGAGGGACCCCCCCCTTCCCCCCAAAAAAGCAAGTAAATGAAAGAGATAAAGTGATGTTCAAAGACCTGATATTAAGTGAGAGTACTTCTGGGCCAGAAGGGAAACATTTAACCCTCCACCCCTACTAGGGGGGCAGGAGGGGGCCCCTCTCGGTCCTGCACTGCGGCGTGGCGGGTGGGCAGGGTGATGCCAACTTTGATGAGCTGCGAAGCTCTTGCAGCAAAGCGGCCTTCGTGCATCTGAGGGCAGTGGACCCACCACCGGGGGCCCCGGGAAGGTCACGCCCGGGCAGGAGCCTGCCCTGCACACCCCTGGCATTCCTCCAGTCCCCACCTTTCCGTTGGCCCGTCCCCTGGCTCCCACTGTGCCCACTGCACCCCGTGATTGATGGGGAGGCGGCAGCTGCGGATTGAGCAGGCTGGCCGCAAAGGGGGCGATTCCACTCCTGGCTGCTGAGAGCCACTGCCCCCGCCCGGCCTTTCCTCGAGCTGGAAGCCGGGGGTCTGTTCAAAGGACACTGGAGCCCCACTTGGCCACCTTTGTGGAGGGGCAGGAGGACACGTGTGGATACGGGGTCCCAGCAAATAAAGGCTTTTGCATGCATCCCCACTACTGGAGGGGACTGTACCGCTGTTCTGCCCGGGCGACATGGGCACCTGGGCTTTGTGGCTCGTGCCGCCCTGGGGGCTGGCCCCAGTGAGCCCGGGGTTGGGGCAATTCCGTGGCTGAGGGGCTAAGAAAGGGCAGCTGGGTTGGAGGGCCAGCTCCCTGTGGCAGTGGCCCTGCCTGCGGGAGGTGGGCGGTGCTTCGGCTGAGCCAAGAAATCTAGACCCTAACTTCCCCCTCCACATCTACTCAGGCAGTGACGGCGTCTGTGCTGCGGCCCCACTGTGGGTGACGCGGTTGATAAATGACACCTCGCTCCCTGACCTGCCCCATCATCTTCCTCATCATCCTCATCATCTGCTCTCCCTTCCACCTATGAGCCCATGAGTGGGTACAGCCCAGGCCACCCCGAGAGGCTTTTCTGCAGTGTCTGCCATCCATTGGGGCGCACAGGAAGGGCCTGGACCCCAGACCGGTGCAGAAAGGGGAGGTGCACGGAGGTCACACCTGCCGTGGCTGGCCTGCCCTCTGGGTCCTAAACCACAGCAATCCCGTGGTTCTCCACCCTCTGAGATTCCCCCAGCTTTTGTCTGCTCTTCCTTTCCCAGCTGTTCCATTCAGCAGACCCGGGACGACCTGCCCTCCCCAGCCCAGGCCTCGGAGGCCCCATTAAGGCCAGCGGTCAAAGGCCAGCCCGCACGTGCTGCGTCTTATCAGCCCGTCTCAAGATCCTGCTCCTCCTGGCTCGGCGACAAAAATGGGGGCGGCCCCGGGTCCACTGGCTCCCCGAGGCCCCGCACACAAAAGGGCGGGTGACAAAGACATTTTCTGGGATGGCAGGTGTTGGTGTGGGATTCCATCCGGAGTACAGCGGCCGAAGAAAGGCCAGGCTGGGTTTCCCGGGTGGGCAGGCAGCGCAGACACGCAGGGCAGAGCCCCTGTGGAAGAGAGCAGGAGGCAGGGACCTGCGGGCATCTCAGCGTTGAGTCAGCCACGGAGGGAGATGGGTTAGTGAGTGAGCAGGGTGGTTGGCCAATCCGCTGACGTGTCAGTCTTACCTTGTACAAATACCGCGCCGAGGCCTTTAAGTATCTGAAGGGAAAGAACATAAAATGAAGTGAATGCAAGCCTGGCACACACAGCCCGACTTGCTATGAGCACAGTGCTAAAAATACGTTTATTCCTGGGCGGCCTGAGGGTTCTTGCAGTTTCAGAGATCATTACGAATTGGAAATTCCCCTACAAGTCCCTCGGCAGGACAGAATTCTAGCTGGTGTCACCCAGATAGGTGTGAAACGAAGGTAACGTTAGCTCTCCCAGGATGTGTGACGGATGCTCTTGGGAGCCCCGCAGACACTGGGTGGCATTGACCTTGGTATCCTGTCCCTGCTGCCTGATGTTTCCTAAATATTTGGTCTAAGATACAGTCAAAGAGAAGAGTTTTCAAGACCAGCGCTGGAGTTCTATGGATGCCTTGAAAAAATAACTGACACCCTCCAAGTGTACAAGTTTACATGTCTCCAAGTTTCATTTTACAGGTTTTGAGTGGTACGCAATGTGTTAGATCAGTACGGGTGGCACCTGCGACGTGACAGTCCCCAGGGGGGAAGCACGCAGTGTGCTGTGCAGAGTGTGGCTGCGAAAGGGACCCTGCAGGGGCGACATCGGACCCTCGCGCACAGAGTAGCAGGACCCCAGCAGTCCTGCCAGACCCCAGAGAGGCTCTGAGCTCTTTCGTGCTTCGTGATAGTTTTTTTTAACTACCCCAACTCCCCCCTCACCACAGCCATCCCATTTCCCACGTGGGTTTCCTTAGCAAACGCAGCCTCTTTCCGCGTCAGGTGACAGCTCCTCACCCTAACCGCCACAATGCTCCTGAATTCAGTGTCACTAGACCACCATCATATCTGGACAAAGGACACTTATCAATGACACGCACTGCTGTCTGTCCGGCCGCCGTTGTAAACTTGGATTGTCTGCTGACCTCGCCAGCAAGGCAGGCACGGTGACCAGGGCCAGTTTCTAAGACGGATGCCGTCGGAGGAGGGACCACCGACAGATCTTAGGTGGGCTCTCCGGAAGAAATCTGGGCTTCTCTGAAGCTGTACTGTACAATCTATCAATGAAAATTTCACTCCTCCCCACCCCCCAAAATTATGTGGGATTGGGAACTTCAGGATAAATAACCGATCGTGATGATGCACTAGGCTTCTCTGTCTTACTTGATTTCTAGCCACTGTTAACGGCTCCTTCTTTACATGGTGATCGAGCTCTAGGGGCACAGGAAGTTCTCGGGCAGTGTTGCTTCCTGGTGCTGGACTGGTATGTTTTCTGAGGGACCTTTAGACAATGCGATGATCTAGATTGCCTGTCTTCCCCCAATGCACCATGTGCTCCTGGAAGACGGCAATTGTGGGACATCTCTAGGTGGGTCTTCCTCCAGTGGAGGGGCTGGGCTTCCCAGGTCTCCGTACTGCTGACCCTCTCCCCACGAAGGGGCTTCTCGGTCCCCCTCCCCTGCAGCCCCTCGGCCCTGGTGATGCTGGGCGTACAGGCACCCGATTGGTGGAAGCAAGCAAACAGATGGTGCGTCTGACAATGGAGGGCTTGTTTGTAATTGCTGATGAGGACAGCCTGCCCCTCTCCCGGTGTGTCCCCAGATGCAGCCCGGTGTGCTGTGCTGGACCAGACAGAATGTCTCAGGAACTGCCAATCCATGGGCGAGTTAAGGAGATGCAAAAACAGAGGCAGTTGGGGGCTGCCGTAATTATTCCGTGGGGCTCAAATGTCACTTGCCCTTGACAGACAGTGCTACCAAAGGGCGGGGCCCCTGTGCGTGGCACAGAGGAGCAGGCTGTCAGCTTCCTGACGCCTCCTTGGGGGTCAGCAAGAGGTACCCACCACCCTGGGCAGTGGTGGGGACACCAGAAGAGACCACGGTGCTTGGAGCTGCGTGATGCCCAGGGGCATGGGAGACACCAACCCTAATTATTTCATCAACCGGGTGCCTGGTATGTGCCAGGTACTGTTCTAGGCTCCAGGTGACAGCGGTGAACAGAGCAGATGAAACCCCTGCCTTTGGAAGCTTTGGTGGCAAAGTTAACGGCATGTCACTGGGGGGCAAAAATATCTTACCCTTCATTTGTATAAAATGCAGATAGAAGTACAGAGAATATACAGGTAAACGATATTTCTGTGGTGTTTCAGGGGAGGAGACAAATTAGGAAATAAAAATGTCTTAGAAGCCTCCCTGGTGCGGCAGGAAGAATAAAAGGTGGAGAAACACTGATTGTACGGGTTAACATGTATCTTAAATTCAGAGTTTTCTTACACGTGAGTGGTGCTGGGAATCAGGAGTTGGCCCCACTCACTTCTGAGAGCAGCTGAGCGAGACACCCCTGGGGAGACCCTTTCAGGAGTAACTTGGATGCCAATGGGCCAACTGCGGTCACTCAGCGGCTCAGACACAGAGCGGGCGTCTGGAGACTCCAGAACTCGCTTTTAGAGAAAGATGTCCTACTTCTCGGGCCTTGTGAGGCTCCTTTGACACCTGGATATCCACAAGGGTTTCAAGAGACACAGGAAACCACCGTCTTGGTTGTAGATTTGCTGCGCTCTACGCAGCTCTGTCGGAGGCTTTCTGAAAACCGGTGGGCCTTTCTGTGGCCTGTTTTCTCTGGCTGTACTCACCGGAGAGCAAAAGAGCAAGGATTTGCACCTGGCGTCTTATCTCTGAGGCAAGGCTGCCGTCCAGGACTGTCCCCCGGGATAACGCTGGGCAGGGTCAGAGAAGAAAAGTGGCTGCTCTCCCTGGGTCCTTGTTACTGAGCCATCAGTGTGGGAAATGATGAGCTGGTTCAGGATAATTAGCGAAGGGAATGGTTTTGAGAGCTGCCATGGTGAGGGAGAGAAACAGTGGGCTGGGGTTCCAGCTTTAGGCGAGCGCTAAATACCCTCCCAGCAGGAAGGCGGACCAAGCGGGAGATCAGAGAGCTGTCTGGGCTATTCAGACCCCTTGGAATGGCTCTGAGGACCAGGAACGGGGTAAGCCTATACACTCAACTCAGCACTGGCAACCCAAGGCCAGTGGGCACTAGCCAGCCTAATTACCATTGCCAAATGGCCCAAGGATGGCTTCTAGAATTTCCAACGCAGCAGAAGGGGCTGTGTCCTGGCCCTGGACCTGGCTCTGGGCTTGGCTTCTTCTTTTTGGTCGTTGGTCTAGCCCATCAGCTTGGGTTCTGAAGCAGAAAGCTAGGGCAGCTGGACCGAGAGACAGACGGGCAGAGAAAGTGCGTGCATTGTGCCCGCCCACCTGTGTGGGGGCCTGGCCAGCAGGGGGAACGTTCTTGAAAACGCTTGTCTGGCATTTTTCTCTCCCCCTTCCACGACTATCATGTACATTTATGCATCTATGACTGAATTTAACTAAAATTAATGTCTTGTTAGGCCCTCGTGGAGAAAGATGTTTCCAGACCCTCCTGCTAGCTCACGGAGCGTGAACACGGAGATCTCAGTCTATCCCGGCCATGGAGAGATTGCTCATTTTACCAGGTTGAATGATTCACATCTCAAAATGGAAAAACAGTACAGAAATGTTTATAGCAGCAATATTCACAATAGCTAAAAAATGGAAATAGCCCAAATGTCCGCCACATGATGAATGGAAACAAAGTGTGGTCTGCCCTTACAATGGAATATTATTTGGCAACAAAAACACATAAAATACCAATACAGGCTACAACATGGATGACCCTTGAGAACATGCTAAGTGAAAGAAGCCAGTCAGTAAAGACCACGTATTGTCTGATTCCATGTACACGAAACGCCCAGAATAGGCAGATCCAGACAGACAGAAAGTGGACTAGTGGTTGCTTAGGGCTGGGGGTGGGGGGAATGGGGATTGACTACTAGTGGGTTTATGTTTTTGTTTTTCAGGAGGGATAAAAAGGTTCTAAAATTAGATTGTGGTGATGGTTGCACAACTTTGTGAATATACTAAAAACACTGAGTAGCATACTTTAAATGGATGAATTGTATGGTATGCACATTATATTTCAATAACGTTGTTTTTCAAAAATGACAAAAAAGAATAGAAGTTGGCCTGGGCACCACTACTGCCAGAGC